CATATTTCAAGGCTGGCTAAAGAGTCTTGAGTTATTGGTACATATTTCAGTGATCAGTTTTTCTCCAGGGTGTAATATTTTTAGTACATCACACATAAGGCACAGGCTATTACACTGTTGCCTCTATCTTGTCACGTAGTAATCATAAGTCTGACCTCCCTTTAAAGCTTTTTGAGGGAGGCTCTAGGCCACCCAAGACATAGGTCTGCAGTGTCTTAGGGTAGGTCTGGGCAGAACAAGGGTCTGTGCTAGGACATTTAAGTGGCAGATTGTAAATCTTTCAACGAAACACATATGATTTGTTTACTAAGCCCAAGGTAAAAATGCTTTCTAAAAGAGCAAAGGCAGAAAATCTCTACCAGTTACTCTGTCCAGAGCATTAAAATGTATTAATTCAGCATTGATTTATTTTTCTTTGTCTTGTCATCCTGATGAAAAATGTATCTTTAGTCTGTGTGTGCAAATGGAAGCTCAGATGCTTTGTAGCTAGGATATTTTAGTATACTTCAGGCACCACAGTGTTAAGGCACAAGACTGCAAGCAAGAACTTGCAGAGTGACTTCACCAGGGAGTGATTAATGGGCTTTACCTTTCCTGGTGACATTAGCTGGCATGGCACAGGCTCCTCTTATGCCGGTAAGGACCATTTGCCTACCACATCACAACTGTGTCAAGGACAGAACATTGCTGCCCATCACTGGGATCTAGTGATGGGGCTACCTTTTAGTGATTGTCACTTGTTCAGCCTACCTGTCATCCTCCTCATTTCAGTGGGGTCCAGACAGGGTGAAACACTTGCAGGACTGGGCTATACTGGTATGATTCAGCAGCTCCCAGTGAATGCTGCAGAGGCAGCCCCCCATGTCCCTAGGCTTCCCGCTGTTCAGCAACATTTCTAAGATATCTAAATTCCTTCATGAAGAAAACTGAGCTGGCCAAATTCTAATCTCTTGCACTAATAAAAATTTAAAGTAATTCCTCCAAGGTCATTCTGGCTTTACATTGGTAAAACTGAGATAAGACTTTATGACGGAGCAAGGCAGTTAAATCATGAGTTAGAAAATGCTAAAGATGCCAAATGTTTACTATCACATACAGGATAAGTTGTATAAAGTTTAAAACACTCTGAATTTATAATAGTGCAATTTGCACTGAAACAGCAAGGATCCCAAAGACATTTGAGGTATAAACTCTTCTGTGTAAATGTCTTCCGGTAACTAAATAAACAGAGGCTTAATCTATGGCACAGAGAACCTCAACTGAGGCCCTTTTAGATCAGTGTTTACTCACAGACCCTGGAAAAATAAAGGTTTCAATTAGCTTGAACAGTTGAATATAAGTGGGGAAAAACCTTGAAGAACATCTTTCCAAGGTTTATGATTTCAATGTCACCATATTTGTACATCATAAATCAAGATGAAAGCTTGTTAAAAAAGCATAAATATATTTCAATTTAAAATCAAGTGAGGATAAGATTTTTTTAAATGCAGCATTCTTCCTCCAAGAGGATTTTAAAAAAAGAAAAGAGCAGCTCTGGGAGAACTACTTTGGTTGACAAACGGCCTGCTCTGGTAGCGTTTTGTCTGCCAATAGAGTGGGTGACAAATTTTGGATGATAAAAATTAAAACCAGAGCACACACTGGACACTTTTCGCTAGCATGTATCAATATCAACGAAAACTTTAACTGGAAATTCTTCTTGTTTTAACTTCTTGCCCAAAGCAGTGAAATCTCCAGCCTGGTTCAGCTCGGCTCGTCAGGGGTGACAGGCCAATGCCCTGGTCCCTGCCTCAGTGGGTGCTGTTCCACTAGTTCTTCAGAGAGAATCACTCCAAGAAAATCAATGGAGAAATCTTCTCCTTCCCCTGCCAATTCCTCCTCTACCTGGTTTGATGCAGGATCTGTGCTTTGCCTATTCTGCCCTTATTACCCTTAATCTCTGGACTATCTATTCTGGATTCATAGAATATTATCTGTCATAAGAGTATTGTTATGGAAAATTTCTGACAAGTTCTTGACTCTTCTCACATCAAAGTCAGAGGCAGAAATTTGTGGCTTTTTTTTTTTTTCCATGAATACTGATGCATGACCTAAAAAAATAAAAGTTTTCATCAAAAGCTGGGACCAATAAGATTCAACTTAATGGCTGCGCAAGCACAGAGAAAGCAGGCTGGAAGCAACCATAGCATGTCTATTTAGAGATTCAAAGGAAGATTCCTGCATCCTTTATCCAGCGCTGGGACACAGACAAAGAATTTTAACTTTAGAAACCTGAACATGAAGGGAAATGTGAGGAAATTCAAATCTGCTCCTTGAATCTCAAGGCAGTGTTTTTATAACTTGTGTAGATGAGCCTAAACTCTGGTGTTTTAGGTTGCATCACCTTATTTACTTGTGTTAGACCACTGCCCATCTAGGTGCAGAAAGAAGAGACAATTCCTCTATGAATGCTTATAATTATACTTGTCCAATTACTTGTAATGTGTAACAAATTTGGGAAGAGATACTGAAAAACTATTGTTTGGGTTCACTTTAACCAGCTAAAGAATTTGGAATAGACCTAATAGAGCACAGCAATATCACAGGTATAGGATCCACTCTATCTCCTTCTGTTCCTGAATTAAGAGCAAATAAAACATTTTCAAGTGTTGGGAAAGGTGCAGCAATGCTGTGACTAACCTGGAAGGGTACTGTGGGAACACTACAACCAACCTGAATTTTAGTCTTCCCTCTAACAGTAAAGACTGATTAGCAAGTATTTTCCTACAACTTTTTTTTATAGTTTACGCTAGAAATAGTCAGCCTTGTTTTTATGCTCTGTTATGCTGAATGATGGGGAGAAGGGAAGGTTTGCCAAAGAAAAAGGATAGTAAAAGCATGGAAAATGAGCTAGATACTTCCAGCTACAGTAAAAGCATCTCAGCTTTAGTGTTGTCCTCTTGTGAGGTTTTACATGCTGCTTTAAATTATGATACATTAGCCTTGGGAGAAAATACTAAAAAGCATTCATGTACGACAAAGAATATCCCAGACAGCTAAAGAATGAAATATGGAGCCTTTATTCTCTACAACCCAATTCCTTTACTGAGTATAAACATTTACTGCATTAAAACGTATAGGCTTAAATACAAATTTTCCAGAGGATTTTTTTGCCATTGTTAAGTATTTTAGATCCACAATAATACAGTGTAATGGCTGAAGCAAAGATGAGGTGCTCGTTGTGTGAAAGATGAGTAATAAAATCATCAGCGTACAAATGATTTTTTAATTAGGTTTTAATCTGTGTATTTAGAGAAGTTATTTCTGTGTGAATTCCACACTGATAATTTTTATCTTGGTGCCACAGCTGCGGTTGCTAATGGCAGATGCCATGGACACCCTTGAAGGAAGAAGGAGTAAAAGACGTGTGTGGAATAAAATTCAAAAGGTAAAAACCTGTAGCAAAGGACAAGAGAGTATATTGTTCCCTGGGGAGCAAATGTCCACCTGAGTCATATCTGTTCAAAAGGTAGAAAAGAAAGTAGGTGCCATTTGAAACCTGACTGCATGCCTTGAACTCCATCAGTGTTTAGGCTTTAGCCCCTATAGTTGAACTTTGTCCATGTTAATAGTCTCATGTGGTTATATAATGGAGAAAAAAAAAGAAAGAAAAAGAAAAAGTAAACAAACCTTGAACAGCTTATTTTTGGCTGATAATTATATTTTCATCTTTGTCATATGAGGTAGTGTGCTAACTGGGGCAGGAAGTTGTTAGGCAACAAAATTCAGCCCAACAAATTAGGTCCATTAGTGGAGCTCAAATGAGGCTTTGGTGAGGTGAGGTAAAAGACATATAAATACCTTTCTGGAGTCTCTGCACAGCAACCAGTCAATTTAATTCTTAAAGGATTTGTAAAATGCAAGGAGTCTTGTGTTGGTTCTCTGGACAGATGAATCTGACACAACATAATGAATAATAGGTCAGCCTGGGAGGTAATAGGAGTATCTTATGTTTTTGCAAAGTCTTTTGAACCAGAGCAAATCACAGCTCTGGGCGTTCAGCATTCAGCCTCTCCTGAGGAAAAGGAAAGCAATTCACCAGGAAGGTAAAACGTTACTAATGGTTCAAAGCAGTGGTCTCACCCAATATCTTATGGCTCCATCAGTTCCCAGACAGATGCATGCTTGCTCTGGGTTGCAGCTGCAGCAGGAGGCTGGAGAATAGAGGGTTTGAATTTCTGCACTGGCAGGACTTGAAATTGTCCTTTTGGGATTTAGAGTTTACAGACATATCTCAGGGAAGATACTGAAAACCAAACCCTGGCTGCATTGGGTCGGTGTAACCAGGATAAGCAAATAAGACAGAGGTGTCAGAAAGAAATCACAGAGGTGGAGAGTCAAGGTATTTTCAGAAACCACGTTTCCAAGTGATTTGAATTAAAATTTCTGAAGTCATCTTCTCTGAAAACAAGTCTGAGTAGGTGTATTGCTTCAGTTAGCTGTCAGATCAGTGGCTCTTAATAAAGTTTTCCAAGTACAGAATGTTTCCAGAAACTAAGCAAAACCCAAATGCCAAAAATTATAGACAGACTGGGTTTCATCTCTTTCAAGCACTCATGAGGCAAAACAAAGGATCAATATTCATACTGTTTTTACATTGTGCCAGGATAGTCTCTAGATCTCTCACACCTGCCTACACATCATATGAGAATCTTTTGCAACACAAACACTACGTATAAGATGAATTACATATATTCAATTACACACATATTTCCTGCTATATATAACTAATATTGATAACTAGATGAATACAAAGAGTCAATGATATATTTAAATAGCCTATTCCCTGTACTTCTCTAGCACTTATTCTTTGCATTTTCAGACAATAGACTTACATATCAAAGACAGTTTTCCAAAGTTTTTCCAAAAGTCAGGATTTTAATCCACAGTTAGGTGTTTGAATGGCCGGTCCAATTTTCATTACTCTGAACCACCACAGCTGAGAGGTTGTTGAGAAAAGGTCATGGCTGAAAGTTAGGCCAAGTACACAGATAACTAAGTTCTTATTAAAGGCTCATCGAAAGTTTGGTGGTGGTACCAAAATTATTCCCACATATTTCAAGAGACAGTGGCTAATATTTCATTGTCAATTGTTTAAGGCAAAGTATTTTCTTTCAGTGTGTTCATATGTATGTATGTACTGAGTACTTTCAGTATAATCTTAACATAATTCAAGCTAACATTTAAGAATTGACTGGTGTCCCGTATTATGCCACATGAACCTGTGCATAATTCAATATTTATGAATAAAATCTGCTAAATCCATGAAAATGTGCTCTCTGCCATTTTAAAATTTGCTGTTTCAAAATTCGTTTGCATTCTAAACATAGTTTCGCATTTCACTTTTGACAGCTTAGATAACTATTTGGTTTGAGGCATCTCATTCTAAGCGGAACTCGCCGTTTGCTTCTTAATACAAAAATATTTTTGTATATTATATCAGAACAAAGAAATGAAAAGCATCATCAAGTATTTTTTTTCTACTTCGTTTTTTTCCAAATATTGATTTCAGTATATTCAGCATGCTCTTAGGAAGGAAAAACCTCTTTAAATAGAGACAGGAAAACACTCAGGGAGCTTATTGGGAGGGGTTTTTATTGAATTTTTTGTTGGTTTGTATTGGTTATTTTGTTGGTTGGGGATGATTTTTTTTTTTGGTTTTGGGGGAGGGTTGGGTTTTTTTAGTCAGCTCTAATTAAGAATGTTACACTAGGTTAAAGAACTCTAACACATTACAAAGAAGGATTTAATCTCATGACTAAAAATTGATGTGGTGTGAATTATCACATCACTTGTGCTAGAACCATTTCAAAAAGTTCAGTATTCCTTGGTTTGCTCATCACTTGACACTGATTGTAGAAGTCTCCAAAGAACCTGCACATAGACCTAGTTACAATGTAGTTATTTGTATTTTTGGTATTGAATTAATTTACATATATTTGAAAGCAAAAGAGAACATTAAGGAGTTTATACAATCAGCTATAAATGCAAAGCTCAGGAAAGCTGACAGCTACGTTACCACCAATGAAGTTTGGCTTTTGCAATAGAAACAGCTGTTGCACCTAATGAAAGCACTCAAAATTTTTCTCTAATGCAGCAGAATTATAGCTGTGCTTATTTTCCAAATGGTTAAAGGGTCTGTCAGAATTGCCATTACAAACCACTGTTTTCAGTTTTATATTCTAGAGTCAGCCATAAAAATTCATTCAGGTTGAAATTTGACATAGAAGGGCACAAAGCCTGACACCCAAACACTTTTCCTTTTGTCACAGTGGAGGGTTTATCAAATTAGTTTGAAATTAATCTGGGCAATTTTGAATTTACAGGACTGCTAAAGTAATAATATATGCATAGCTTCAAGTGTTTTGGGTGTTGGGTGCTGCCCTGCTCATCCAATTCACTGACAAATTTATGTTTTTAAGCAAACTAATTTATCAGATAGGCTAATTTATTTTTGAAAGCTTTAAATACAAAGAAATGAAAATTGACCTAATAATTAGCTGGAGAAAAGAGAACATTGCTGCACAGAAGATGCCTTTCTCAGTATTACCAGATCACAGACCCTCCAACCACAAGGAGAGCTGATCCAGGAGAGCCTAGATTACCCTGAGAGATTAAGAAATGGACGCTTTACTCATGTAGCCTAAAGAATGCCTTAGAGGCAGAAAAAACCCCAATTGAGTCAGTTTCCCAAAATCCCTATTCTCCAGAATTTTACTGACAATTTTCCTTAGCATCCCCTTGATAAAGTGTGAGCTTTGTATTAGCAGTTTGGCAAAACAAGATACCTGGGTCTAAGACCTTTCAAGTAGTTAATGGAGGGACTAAGTCCCAGTCTACTTCAGGAACATGGGCATTCCCAAAACACTTTTTACGACCCTCCTTCTTTTTATATTTGTCAGAAATTCCCAAACCAAACTTGCTGGTGGCCAGACTCCTGGACTTACAGAGGATTCATGGCAGCATACAGGGCTTCAGAATTTTTTTTCAGTTGCTGGCTCTGTCCAAATTGTGTTTATAAATTGAGTCACAAAGGTCCTTAAATATCACACCGTCAGCATTAGATGAGAATCAACTTCTGTGAAGCCACCCTTATGAATGGATATCCCACCTAAAGTAGTTAATGGGAAATGTTGTGGGAAAGAGCACCAAACCGTCTCCTTTAAAGAGGCTTAAGTCTTCACCAGTGAACAGAGGTAGAAATACACTTTTGCTCACTGGATTTTGAAGTGCAGATTCTCTTCTTAATTTAAATTACATTTGAATTTATTATTTTAACAAGACTGACTTAGCTCAGTGGTTTAAGCAATGGTCTCTGACGCACAAGCCTCAGCAGCAATGAACAGGAAACTTCCAAGAGAGACTGAGGGGAACTAATCTGATCATTCAGCTGTGTCCCACAAAATCTGGTGCAGCCACTGGGTCTTAAGCAGATGGGGACACTAGCAGAATAGCCAGGTTATTGACTAGCTTCTTTGCTGGCATCTGATGTGAAGATGAATGCTGGGACCGCTGGTAAAGCTTAGCCCTTAGTAACTCAAGGAACCAGGTCTCTGCATGGCCATTACAGGACTTTATAGCAGCTATAGGTAGACAGAGGGGTTTAGAGTATCTCAGATACATAAAATGTCAGGAAGGCTTCTGCTTTCCTCTGTAAGGCTTTTGCTTCTCTGCAGACTTGTAAAAGTAAAAATAAAGAAATAAGAGAGATTACCTTCCTATCTCATGAGTTCATTAGTAAAGCCTCACAATACTGTAACAGTGAGAGGAATTACATTAAATAAATAGGTGCTTTAGAGACTATCAGCCAGAAACTCTTGACATCCAAAGAGAAGAGAGCCATGTAAGTGCAAGTGCCAGCATGACTCTGCTTCCCCTATGAAGACAATAATGTAGTTCTACTATTCTTTTCCATTTAGCCCCTAGCTTTCATAGCAGTTTCACAGGATCCTCTTAACATCATTTCAAAAGCCAAAGAAGAGACAGGAGAAGGCAAATAAACACTTTCCCACATTTCCACATGTGAGACACTTCATAAAACCTTCACATCTGAGTTTACCTCAAGGGCATCACATACTTTGCAATTTAGATAAGTTATTATGCCCGTCATTTGCTGAGCTCAGTGGAATGCCTGTTTCATAAATCTGAAAGCAGAGCAAACATGGATGAGTGAATAAAAGAACAGATGTAACTTACATAAGGAGAAGTATATAACAAAAGCTTCACTAATATATGTGAATATGAAATGAAGTAAAATTAGCCTAAAATATTATATAATCTTTTAACCAGACATATGGATTTTCAGCAGTTGACCTCTGCTTACTACATCTCTGCCGCCTGCTACAGCAGGGGAACACTATCTGAGGAACTGCACTCTTCCACTGACAT